GCAGATACATCACAAATAACGATTTACAGCGAAGAGGTTCTGCAGATACGTTTGTACCACGCACTAATTTCTGGAAATAATTGGATACAGGCAAAAACACTGATGGCATGTCACATGACTCAAAAACGCGAAAACGTCGCCGGAACCGCATGGTGGACGGTAGACAACAGAGCTTTGCCTCCCGCGGCTCGGTCCATCGTGCGATATTATGTGCCCGTGGCGTCTATACGTCGCTTACATCAAGCAGGTCGCAAGCCGATTGAGACGTTTGACACAGGGAACACGTCGAGGCCTATTATAGCATTGGATCAGGTCGGTAACTACCGTCGCCGAGTATTTACCTTCAGAGCTTCGTCCCAGCAAGCGCTGCACATGATGTGATGGCATACGGTGCTCACCTTTGCATCAGATCGAGGAAGTCGACACTTTTTACACACGAACGACACGTACGACGGGTGCCTACAACCGAATATCGGTAACGTCAGATGCGAAGGTGTGCTCACACGAGTAGGCGACTTACTGTGGCTCACTGGGTTCAAGTTCACAGTCGTTTTGTGCACCTGCGGCTGCAGGGGAACCGACCTTCGGCTGAGCGCATTCAGCAGCTTCTGTTTCGACGCTGGACTTTCCATCACCGCCTTCTTCCTAAAAGCCAAGAGCAGACTAGCACATTTCCGCAGCGAAGAATCGTCATAACCTGACGACCTTCCGTAGACTGAATTTGTAAAATATAATCAAAACAGTTTTGATCGCTTCCTGGCTCTTTAAGCGCTTGCCTCATTATTATCTTCTGAATTTTTTTCGACCCGATGAGCTACTAAACATAGATCTTTTCCTGTCCTCATTAGGATTTGAACTTGACTAGCTGGAGATTGTGAATGCGAATAATACATAAGTGCGGTTCAGACAAACATGATTTATCATTTCTGACTCTGGGCCCATAGTTGAAATAACATATGCTTTGTCAGTTCATGGTTGGGGGCATTATAGAATGTATGTGTTAAAATGTCTATTAACCACGCGTTTTGCTGCACAGCACACTCCGTAGCATCTTCAGGGCACAAATGATCATCATGCAGTTAGCCGCCCTACATGAGCTACCTTTATTGATTTAGAGTGAATGGCAGATCGGTACCAACTATTATCAATCATATTCATAACTTTAAATTTTAGCGTTTAATCTCTACCACTCATTTCATCGTTCCAGATATTCTTATCAGGTTAGTGATAGCTGAATGAAGGCTTTATGGGAGTTCAAACTTTGTTTAACCTTAAATAAAGATCATGTGTAATATACGATTACCTAGTAAACTTTCACAGTTAATTTACAAATTTATAAACAGTGTATGAAATTTTGATCCAGCTGTCTTCGCAGAGAAGCTGCCTTTAATGAACCTTGAAATGAACATCATCGACAAGATGAATGTGAAATAGGACTGTTTTGTCAATGCCATCAAAACTGTCGTTAGGCGTATGAAGCTGGACAGCAAAGTCAGTGAGAAACCAACGCGTCATCCCTTTAACAAGGGAACTAATGGCCACAAGGTCTAACTGAGGGCCGAAGGGAAAATGGACAACGTGTCAACTGCACTGTGCACAGATATACAGAAAAAGATGCGGGAAGATTACGAAAATTTCAGGAGAATTCGATCAAGAGAGACCACGGAGCGAAAGAAAAGCCTGCAAGCGGTGCAACGAGACATTCGTCTGAAACAACAAATTCCGAATGCGCTGAAAGACGAATGAGGAGGAAGAATGCGACCTGCATGAAGTTCTACGACAGTTCGTACTCTTCCAAAGTAGGCGTGAGTCGAAAGTTTAAACAGGTTACCTTATAAGCTGTTCCTGAGGTTATTTGGGACGAAGTTGAGTAGGTATTCACAATCATCAAAGCTGACAAATGTTCAGACCAAGGCGATATGAGATCAGAACACCTTACAGTAGACAAATCCATCCTGCTTAACGCGCTTGCCAAACGCCTTTTATGGAATACGTGAGGCAGAAAAAGGCGTTTAAAATGTGAAGACTTCAAGAACTATCGATCAGTTACACCCTCGTTGTGAAGCTACAGAGATACCTCACCAGCACTGTTCACCGTGTCCACAGACTTACTCTTCAACCAGCCAAACTTAAGCAAAGACACCAGTATCGATGCAGCGCACCTGGCACATATTTCATTTGCGTACAACTGCATCGTCTTCGCAAAAGACACGCTGGAGCTCCAGCGGGATATCCAGCAGTTGTAATAAGTTCATTGCGAATAACTCGAAGAAGTCACCAGTTATGCATGCCTTAGCTGTCAGGTGGACCGTGAGAACTCATTAGCCGGGAAATCAGCTGAAGAACGAATGCGCCACGGGTCAGTTTCAATCGTATTAAAACATTATTACTCGACAGTCAGCTATCCATGCGGGGAGAGAAAGAAATGTCAGATTCACCGTTCTACCTGCCATGACCTAAACTGCAAAATATTGGTCTGCAACTGAACCTGATGAGACAAAACTGATGGTAATGCAAAAGGTGATTGAACGGTAAAGTGCAA